TATAGCCGAGTGTTTGTGTGGTGTTTTTTATGTATGTAATGTAGGGGGAGGGGGTGTGCATATTATAAGGTTCTCCGTATCGAACAGCCTATCTCTGTTGCTTTTCACCTTGTCAATTATGTCTTTGTAGAGTTTTTCTTTCTATTTCTGAATTTTTACAGATCCTGTCGCTTTGCAATAGCCCGTTACTTCGCCTTCCACAGCTTTCGTGTGGGTTTGAAACCCATTTGGGGACGTTTACCACAATTTGGAGTATCACCATCTTTTTTTCTGGGATAGTGTATACAACTATGGCATCTGTTCAATCTCTTCGATCTTTTGTTTTTACAAACATAAAGTAATACCTGTCTTCCAGCGCCAATTGTACATAAATAATGCCAGGCTCCTAATCTGCTACAGCACAAACTATCATGTTTCTTGTTGTTCTGGGAGTATTTACTGCCTTGTAACTGTAAACCTATCTTTGTGTACGTCTGTTCTTTGGTTTACCCACCCTAGATTGAAAAGCTAGCAAGCATTTCAATTACAACTTTCTTAACTGCACTATTGCCAGTCACAACCTACAGCGTTATCACAAGTAAAACCATGTAACCTTGAACGCAACACCGGCAATAGCATTGTCAGTACTAATTTTATTAACAATAATTAAATCATCAAGAAAGATGCCAAAAACAGAAGCAGCAACCCTTTGTCTGAACTTAATTAAGTAAGAACAAAAGAAATGATGGGACAACCATTAATTTCTCACAAAGGATTGACGTTAAACCATATCCCTAACAGCCCCCCCCTCCCTTTCTTTTTATTTTACTTTTCTCTGCACTTCTCTCACGATCACAGAGTTAATTCCTTTGTATCAAGGCCCCTTGCAGACAGGAAAGGCAAGGACCGGCAAGAGGTACGAAAGACAACGTATCATTAGTGCATTTGAAATTCGCCTGTCTCGAAAAGAAAGCTCTAAACAAAATATTCAGGCAGAGATAAGCACGTTCAATAAATTTGTTAAGGAGTAACTTCTTCTGAGTTGAATCCTTTCAACGTAAGAATCGGAGTTTTCGATAATCTCTCATAGATCGCGCCTCAAAGTAACGGATAGCTGACGCATGCATTTGCTCACCTTATGATAAAATGCTTCCGACAAATTATTCTTTTCTTGAAGCTGGACTGAGGCCACACAGTGAATAAGTTTTTTCAACAACCTAAAGACTATGAAGACATTAGACGACAGAGTCCTTAGTACAGGACAATCAATAAACTATTAATATTTATTCATTTGATGTCTTAGTAGTGCCCGCATGCCATTCTATTTTGATTGGGGGGGGGTTAACTTAAAAAAGAGAAATGCATCATTTTTAAAGGTCTTTATAATGTTCCCTTGAGCCATTGCAAATATTGACTTTTGATAATTCGTTTAATTCCTCAGTATATCTAAGATCTTTAAGGATGGGATTTTTTGTACCGGAGGTTCCTTCGAAGAGAGAAAGCGTTGGACGGGAAAACGGAAGGTTTTAATCTCTCTTTGGCTTTGAGGAGACACTGTTTGGCGTTGATCTCCCAAAGCCCATGGAAGGATCAATTTAGATCTCACATTGTATTTTTCGACGCCTAAAAAGTGAAAGTAACTTTAGTATTGTACTGGATCTTGAATGCATGACCTTTTCACTTTCTATTTCAATTCTCACTTTAACCGTTTACATCACTATTTCTTAAACCTTTACAACGCCCCTTTAACGTTATTTTCCACTTTAAAGAAGGCAAAACAGAACATTCCTCTTCAAATAATTTTGAATCCTCTGTGGCCAAAAGTATCAAACGACGACAGAAAAATCAACGTCTAGATTTAGTTTTAAAGTGAAGCACTACTTCTGCAAAAAAAAGCATAATTAAGAAGTAAGCAAACAATACTAAGCGCTATAACTTGATGTATGCATATGATACAAAAGAATAATGCTTAACTTTACAATCCTTCACACATGTACGATTCTCAAGAAGTAAGAATCATACGAGTTAAGGTTTTTTCTCTTACATTCCATTAGCTTTTCGCCTCTTTCTATACTAAGTCAGTTCCTACCCAAGAGTCTGAGAGGTAAAGTAGGGGACAAGAGTACATTGTCTGTCTTCGATCTTTTGTACGAAAGGATCGCTATTTTTTCAGATGTATCTCGAGACAGTATGATTGACCCGTCGTCTGGATCTGCCTTTTACCCAATGTATAATAAACTGTTTCTGTACTTTTTTGATACCCTGTGAAGCAAATTGTACTTTTGCTGATTTAAGTGAACTTTTTTTTTTATAGTAAGTTTTCATAATTCACATTTAACAACATAAACAACGACTACAGCAGTACAAAGAAAGTGAAATTAAATCCTACAGAAAAAGCAAAATCATGTTATTTATTCTACAAAGAAGACATATTATTGTTAATACTGCTGACCAAGACTAAAGGTAAAGAAAAGGGGATCGAAAGGGGGAAGAGGGGGTGGGGTAGCATCATGAAGGAAGTTCTAAAACATAATCAACAAACAATGAGTTTAATATTTCATTTTCTGCGCCACCCCTGCGTTAATCATGATTTCCGTCTTCTCTAGCTAAATGATTGAACTTACCTTAATTATGTCGAATACAAGGGAAGCTATGAACATGGAATCCAACTGGATGTCTTCATTCTCCAAAATGTCCTGAAAAATAAAATATAATAAACAGATTCCATTCTGACAAATATCATTTGTTCTTTAGAAATGGCCATCATAGATGAATGTGGGGACATGCGTCACTTATTTAAGCGAAGAATTGAAGTCAATAAATAATTATGTTTCCTAGAATAAAGATTATAGTAATATTATATTGCGCTTATACTTTACTGTTATTTACCACCATCGATAGTTTACCTTAGACAGAAACGAAAGCTTAAATCATCTCTCTTTTTTTTTAGTGTTTAATGGCGCTCACAACTGCATGAGGTCATATGAGCGCTCGGGTTTTCAGTTGGTAGGAAATTTTGAATTTTGCCCGGGTAGCGACTGAAGAGTACACTTGTTGATTTTAGGACCACCCAAGTATCTTTAATGTGTGCAGCTTGCAAAGCGGACCTCCGAGATTTTTTGAACTCATGTTTTTAGCGCTAACCGCTACACCACAGACACTGGTAGCTACATCTTCCAAATTGAAACCATAATGAAAGCACCATCAAGACATCTGAGAACTGCAAATGAGAATTTAATGAGCGCGCCCACTGTTGGGTGGAAGAGCTTTCTTTTCCTCTGCTCTAAAAAATAAATTCCCTCGCAAATAACGCGTAAAATAAGAGAGAGAGAGAGAGAGAGAAAAAAAGAGAGAGAGAGAGAGAGAGAGAGAGAGAGAAAGAGAGAGTGAGAGAGAGAGAGAGGGGGGGGGTTTGAAGGATGGGAATTTATGCAATGATCAAAAATGCTTAGAGGCAGAGAGAGAGAGAGAGAGAGAGAGAGAGAGAGAGAGAGAGAGAGAGAGAGAGAGAGAGAGAGAGAGAGAGAAAGAGAGTGAGAGAGCAAGAGAGAGAGAGAAAGAGAGAGGTACTGACAGACTGATAATCAGACAGACAGACACTCTCACGCACAAACAGATCAAAATACAAACAAACTTACGGTTAGGAACAAAAGTCTGGGAAAGGGGGCGGGGAGATGATGGCAAACGAAAAAAAGAAGACAGAGAAGGTGAACAAAAAACAAACAAAGCGATCAGATAATAACAAAATTATCCTCTCAGATTGCAATTTGGGAATACTAACAAGATAGCTCGACAGGTTGGAACATCAATAGATAGATAGATAGATCGATCGATAGATTGATAGATCGATAGATAGATAGATAGATAGATAGATATATAGATAGATAGATGGATAGATAGATAGATAGATAGATAGATAGATAGATAGATAGATAGATAGATAGATAGAAAGATAGATTACCCAAACCTGAGCTCAGACAATTTTCTGATTCACGGCATCAGTGTCTCTGACAAAGCAAGTCTCTTTTCGCAAGGGGTTAGATGGATGCAGTGATTTAAGAACATTATTCGGACATAAATGCAAGAGCAAAAACTCCACGAGTGAAATAAGTTGAAAGGATGAAAGTGTAGTAATGGGCGTTAATGGCCATGAATCTAGAGATGTGTGGACGGAAATAGCGCTAACCTAATTCACAGCCCATTGTGCGATCAGGGCAGAGAACATGAGGCGAAATCGTCTCATTTAATGTTACGATACACCTCTTGGGGGTTTTCAGGTATTTACAAGTGTAAATTGTAAAGTGATTACAATAGAAAAGAGTTTGAGGTTGCGCTTGGGCTGGTGCAAATTGCTTCATGTGTATTACTTTTTGAAAGATTAAATACATTCTCCAACGTTATTTATTTTATATATAAACCGTACCAAAATAAGAGACACTTACGTGCATGTTTTAGGTTTTTTTTATAAGTATTTTTTTCACGGTAGTTATAAATTGTTAAGATGTCTTTGAGGGATTTTAATGTGGGTTTTGATGTGATAAGCAAGGGCTAAACTGATGCTGATGACACGGCTCGAATTAAAGCCCCTCTCAGAATTTTAAACATGAATGCATTGAGCTCTGTTTTGAGGGAAAGTGCACTCAATCAAGCTCCAGATACAAACTCACGTTCTTTCCCTGCGTGAGTGTATCGATATTTTAATGGGGGTAGGGGTGGTTCTATTCTTTTGAGCTAATGCTTTTTAATTGGTACTGAAAAACCTCTGAGTACAAAACCAACGCAATAATTTTACAGCCATTCATGTGTATGTTGCAATACAAATACTATTCTCTGTCTAGAATGTTCCGGAAAGTATACTTCTCTTGCCCCTCGCTGTTTGCGCTTTACGCGTGGGGGGGGGGGGGGGGGGGCTTTGGGGTAGGTGTTGGTTCCTTTCTTCTTTTCAACTCACTCCAAATGATAATTGTTCTGGAAATAATATCTTATTTTGTATTCAGCTAATGTCTTCTTTTCTTGTTGTTAAATGAAAAACAACAACATGGGAGAGGTTGTGAGCTTACGTATATGTGTGTGTGTGTGTGTGTGTGTGTGTGTGTGTGTGTGTGTGTATATACGAGTGTGCGTGTGTGTGTGTTTGTGTGTGTGTGTGTGTGTGTGTGTGTGTGTGTGTGTGTGTGTGTGTGTGTCTGTAGGGAAGGGGGTAAGAGTTTGTGAACTGAAAGCAAGCATTGGTATTAATTTCATCTATATCCATGTTTATATCTTGTCGTAATCTCTCGAGTCAACAAGCGAATCACAGTGGTGCAATTGTCTACAACTTGATGTCTGCTCGTGAGCTCATATTTTGAATGGGATAGAGTCTCGTCAAAGACGTGGGCACTTGCGATAAAAAGGTTAATAAGTACTGCTTGACAGCATGCCCACTTGAGCTTTGCCATTACTACCCCAGCAGACTTTAGAAAAATTAGAAACACTTTTTGGCTTTCCGGGAAGCTGTGTCGTATCTGTTAGATAGGTAATAAACTTCAACCTTCCAAAATAAGGTCCCGATGAATGTATTTGAACGTTAACTGTCAACACAAGGCTCGAGCAGAAGCACTAGAGCTGGCTTCTATGGTATAGCTGTTAGGCGCTGCGCTTTTCCCTTTCGTCAACCCGCAGCCACCTCCGAATCGTCAGCCACCCCCAACCTTTGACACGGGTCAAACTTCCATCTATTTATAGGTAGTTAAATCTACCGGAACATGTATTAGGCGAAGTGATGTGCAATGATAGTCGCAATAGAGAGATTGTTTTGGTCTCTCTTTACTCATCTGCACCACACGAATTTAATTGATGTTTTTCCCTGGACTCTGCCTTTACTAAAGTCTCGAATCTAGATCTAGTTGTAATCTAATTGCAGGTTGCAGATTTAATAAATTGCCGACAGAGAGAGAGAGAGAGAGAGAGAGAGAGAGAGAGAGAGAGAGAGAGAGAGAAGGGGGAGGAGTAGATCTTGCGAGAACTTTCGGGCAAAACGAAATGGTGACCCGCGTAGTTCGGTCGATTCGAAAAGTGAAAGAGCCATAGCATCTTTGTAGACGATCAAATTAGCTTACTTTTGTGCTATAACGTCATTTTTTTTTCTTTGCCTTTGTCAATTTGATCATCCACACCGATAGAAAGCATTTCGAAATTAGGAAAAACAGGTCTTGTTTCACACTGGGTGAGAATAGCCAACGCTGGCAAGTCTCACCCGGGGTGAGAGGTCAATCGTAGGGTTTTTATTCTCACCCCGGGCGAGGATAGCAATAGCCACTTCCTTACTTAAATGATTAGGTGATTAAACTTGATCTCTTATTGACAATATAAAAGTCAATTTAAGCATCATTTCGTTAGAAAACAATGTGTTAGGTTTGCTAACTTCATAGACTTTGTGTTAAACAACACATTTAACAAAACGAATCCTTACAAGCCTAGGCTTGGCCTTTGTAATCTCGAAGGTTTAGAAGTAGAAGAAGAAGAGTCTACTACTAGATCTAGAGTCTAGTCCAATTTATTTAATCTCTGGAATGTACTGGATAACAACAGAAATCTGCAACCTGCCACTAGATTACAACTCTAGATCTAGATCTAGATCTAGATTCGAGATTTTAGCAAAGGCAGAGTCCATGGAAAAACTTCAAGAAATTCTCGTGGTGATGAGTAAAGAGAGACCAAAACAATCTCAATAAATAATATATCGCGACTATCACGGCACATCACTTCACCTATACATGTTCCGGTAACTACCTATAAATAGATGGAAGTTTGACCCGTGTCAAAGGTTGGGGGTGGCTGACGATTGGGAGGTGGCTGCGGGTTGACGAAAGGGAAAAGCGCTTAGGCGCTCCGGGTCACACACAACAGACCTGAGTACGATTCCTGAAAGGGGAGAAAATGTGTTTCGCGTATCTTGATCTTTTGTCTCCTTCTCAGCCCAAGTTGACCCTGACAGGTGGTCGAAGCCCGCTTCCTAATTGGTGTAGACTGTGTAGATGGAGGCGTAAAACATCTACATATAAAAAAGAAACACCAACACACGCACCTGTAAACTGCCCTTGCTGCAATACCCTGTGACGATCGCAATGTGTGGAGGATCAACGCATGCGCCGATAAACGGGTTGATGTTGTCGTGACGTAGTTCTCGCGCCTGGGGGGAGAATAACATGCTGTTTTACAAGCTTTCGAACACTGACGTACAGGCATGACCTTCAACTGTCTTACCGTTTATCCATTTCTCATCTGAGTGAGGTGCGTCAGTAGTCTTGTTGTTTGTCTGCCAAATTAATAATCATAAGAACACAGGTTAGAAGCTCACCTTGGTCCTAGGTTGAGCCCTTGGGAAAGGCATATTGCAAGAATTATTCCCATTTGCTTATTTGCTATAGGTGACAGACGTTACACTTTGAGTTCCCACTTCTTAAATAATCTTACAGTGTTGCAAGGGGAGTTAAACCCCAGAGACATAACGTTGGGCACGCCATGGAATCCAAACCCTCGACCAAAATTTTTATTACGAGTCCGTTAGCCAAATGACCAGGCTACTGATGGCATTAAAAATAACAGCGTAGTCATATTTGACATTACAGATAAACACATTGAATGCAAACCATGCAACCATCTCAACAAGCTATCGGTTCCGTATCCTTCTTTCATCAACGCACCTACATTTTCATTCCTTTTTATCCTTACCGTTTTCAGCTCCTTGCGCACGCTTCTGGTGAGTTCTATATGCGGTTTGTTCACCTTCCTCACGGCCACTACGGTCCCTTTGTAGATGCTGACGTGGGTAAACAGCTGCCGGATGTCAATGTCCGCCACAGAGATGAGGGAAGCTTGGCTAGCCGACTTGTTCAGCGATGTGGACGACTGGAAACAGATACGGGGGGTTCTTGAATTGTTTGTTTGATTATAGGAATCAAAGTTTCTCTCTCTCTCTCTCTCTCTCTCTCTCTCTCTCTCTCTCTCTCTCTGCTTATAGACATTCATCTTCC